ATCGAATCAATAAATGCTCGACCTATCAAAAAAAAAACATTTTGGTTTTCCGAACCCGATTTCCACCGAATTCGGAAAATAATGCCGCGCCTGAAAGTCACAGAATGAAAACTATTGCTATAGAAAACACACAAATGCTGAAAATTGTAATACCTCAGATGTTGGTTGCAATTCCACAGTGAAGTCTTAAAAGGGCAAATATTGAACAAAGAGCATTTGGTCTACTAATCTACGTGCAGTTTCTTGCAAAAACAGAAATTCCTTATTGAGCTGATTAGAAAGAAAGGTACATCGAACGGGGGTAAGTTACTGTTAACATTATATTTTTGAACTTCGTTTTGGTTATCTGGAGAAAATGAGGCAAAGGAAAGGGCAGTTATGAAAAAGACTTTTTGGTTTATTGTGAGTTCAGAGGTCATAGCAGAAAAATTCTCTTTGGTCAACTTCAAGAGCTGTTCAAGTTTGCCTTAATTTTGACTAGCTGCAGACCTGTAGCTCTCTGAAAAAAATATATATATATTGACAGACTGGAGAGCTTCAGACTACAGTGCCACCCATTGAAAAAACTGTATACTGTAAAACGAGAATATTTGGCGCACTACTAATGTTAGCGCCTTTGACGCAAGAGCCCCTGAGCACCAAATTTTATTGTACGCTAAAGTATAATTCTAAATATCATTTTATTTGTGTGTTCAAAGCTTTTACATAAGTACATATAAACCGGAATGCTCGATTACGTAATGTCGAAGGGTCATTGGATTTTATATACACACTAGCACTGCACATGTTCAGAAGACAGAAAGTTCTGCCAAACTATAATTAATTAAACTATTGTTACCCGGTAGTTGTTACCCGATTATTATCATGTAGTACCTTCAAAGTTTGGCTTTTCGGCATGTCAATCATCTATCACTTCGAGGTAAACAATGCAATCAAGCATAGCGATTGAGCTGGCAGACAATAATTGATTCTGATTAACGTTTTATCTAAGTAATTTTCTGTCGATGCATACATTGTTTTAAGTGATTTAAATGAGTAAATAATCCATTTCTTTTAATTTAACATAGAAATAAAATAAATTTTATTATTATTTTTCCTTATTGTTCCAACTATCTGATTGGCTCAAACTAGATCACATGATCAAGTATAAAAAGTGTTACAGACTGGATGTTTCTATTTTAAAAATTTATAAACCTGCTGTTTCTAAAATTGGAAACGTTCTTCTGTGAAGCAACAATAATGCTGACGTCACAATAGTCTTTATAGACTGGATGTTTCTAAAAACAGATACTGCAGCTGTTTACATTATTGTGACGTCATAATGCAATGACATAACAATGCCTTGTATGAGAAGGTACTGAGTATTATAAAGAAGGATTTTAAGACATTTCTTTATTAACTGATAAAAAATAATAAAACAATTGTAGCCTTTTGATTCGGTACAATCCCTCAATATATAGACCTTAGAGAAAGCATATCGACCGAGCACTTCGTGCTCGGTCGATATGCCTTCTCTAAGGTCTATATATCGAGGGATTGACCTCATCAAAAGGCTATAATTGTATAATATTGTACAACGTCCATGTGATAGCAACACGTACCGCGGTAAAGGTAAGGAATGTTAACTGATATACAAGAGTACTAATGTGTGTCCGTGCTTGACTTACCAAAAAGACAAATACGGCTGTGGATAAAAAAAAAGTATATCACATTTATATATTTTACTGACAAGTGCAAGCGCTAAAATTTATTTGCGGCGGTGCATTCCCACTTGCGTTTGCGCTAAAATAGGTATGCGCCAAATTTTCTCGTTTTACAGTATTTATTGCACACAAAAAAGTATGCTGTTTCTCAATTTATTTCTCCATCATGATCTTTTTGAAACTGTCACCTCAAAATATTACTAAACTTGTGTTCCTAACGTATTTTTTCACTGTTTCCACAACAAAACAATCCTTATAATATTGCTGTAGCCCTCATGGTCCTGAAATTAAGATCATCGAAAATTTCACCTATTTATTATGCCATTTTGGTTTGCAAGATAATTCGGTCCAACACGCTTCATACAGATGACAACTACGAGAATATTTGATAGAGGAGTAGGGATTTTTTGTGAAATCTTAAGCTTTTTTGCAATTGAAGTAAGAATTTGGAAGAATTAACCCAGAACTGAGTGCAACTTTTTGTGCACAATAAATATACAGTTTGACTTTTCTATGACATAGAATGTGTCAATATTGTAGATCTTTCTCTTCCTGTGTTTGTGATTTTATGTTTGAGTGTGTGACTTTGTGGGTGTCATACTTGCCAGCCTCCAACATGTAAAAGTTTTGTCATGACCAGATTTGGAAAGTAAAAAAATCTTGTCATAAGTCGTAACAGCATTCACGAAATATTTACCATGATTACATTAAAAATGATGAATTGCATAAAAATACAAAGCATTAGCGTATTGAGAAATATTTTATTGTTGAAAAGAAGCTTTGTAACTTACAATGGAAATTTTTGAATTTATTTAATTACATTCATTGACTAAAACATGTTATCGATAAAAGGGCTTTAAAGGTTTCCTGAATCAAGTGTGCATTTTTTTTTAATTTGAAAACCCTCTCAGAATTTGCATTGCTGGAAGGACATGAAAAGATTGAGCTAAATTTGAACAGTCTGATATCTTACTGAGCAATGCTTTTTAGCTCACCTGAGCCAAAGGCCAAAGGCTCAAGTGAGCTTTTCTGATCACAATTTGTCCATTGTCTGTCGTTGTCATTGTCGTCGCCGTCGTTGTTGTTGTAAACTTTTCACATTTTCATCTTCTTCTCAAGAACCACTGGGCCAATTTCAACCAAACTTGCCACAAAGCATCCTTGCAGTGTTTTCCCTAAGAACCGGCCACCGGCCAAATTGACCGCTTCAACTGACAAAAATGCCGCTTTGAAATAAAAATTTGTTGCAATGTCCACAGAGTTTCTGTGTATAAACCTCAGCCCCTGGCCTGTTAGTAGGCTGTTACAATTGATCTCTAACCCTTTACTTTGAAATAAAGGGAAAACACTGCCTTGGGTGAAGGGGATTCAAGTTTGTTCAAATGAAGGGCCACACACTCTTTCAAGGGGAGATAACTGGGAATTAATGAAAATTTGGTGGTATGTTATGAAAATCTTCTTCTCCAGAACCACTGTGCCAGGAAAGATGAAACTTATGGGGAAACATCCTCAGGTAGTGTAGATTCAAGTTTGTTCAAATCATGACCCCCGGGGGTAGGGCGGGGCCACAATGGCCGACCAGTTTTACATAGAAATATATAGGAAAATTCTTTAAAAATCTTCTTCTGAAGAATAACAAAGCCATAATTGATCATATTTATATGGAATCATCCTCAGGTAGTGTAGATTCAAATTTGTTCAAATCATGACCCCCGGGGGTAGGGCGGGGCCACAATGGCCGACCAAAGTTTTACATAGAAATATATAGGAAAATTCTTTAAAAATCTTCTTCTGAAGAGTAGCAGAGCCATAATTGATCATATTTATATGGAAGCATCCTCAGGTAGTGTAGATTCAAGTTTGTTCAAATCATGACCCCCGGGGGTAGGGCGGGGCCAAAATGGCCAACCAATGTTTTACATAGAAATATATAGGAAAATTCTTTAAAAATCTTCTTCTCAAGAATAGCAAAGCCATAATTGATCATATTTATATGGAAGCATCCTCAGGTAGTGTTCAAATCATGACCCCGGGGGTAGGGCGGAGCCAAAATGGCCGATCAAATTTTTACATAGAAATATATAGGAAAATTCTTTAAAAATCATCTTCTGAAGAATAACAAAGCCATAATTGATCATATTCATATGGAAGCATCCTCAGGTAGTGTAGATTCAAGTTTGTTCAAATCATACCCCCGGGGGTAGGGCGGGGCCATAATGGCCGACCAAAGTTTTACATAGAAATATATAGGAAAATTCTTTAAAAATCTTCTTCTGAAGAATAACAAAGCCATAATTGATCATATTTATATGGAAGCATCCTCAGGTAGTGTAGATTCAAGTTTGTTCAAATCATGACCCCCGGGGGTAAGGCTGGGCCACAATGGTCGACCAGAGTTTTACATACATTAGAAATATATACGAAAATTCTTTAAAAATCTTCTTCTCAAGAATGACAAAGCCATAATTCATCATATTTATATGGAAGCATCCTCAGGTAGTGTAGATTCAAGTTTGTTCAAATCATGACCCCAGGGGGTAGGGCGGGGCCAAAATGGCCAACCAAAGTTTTACATAGAAATATATAGGAAAATTCTTTAAAAATCCTATTCTCAAGAATAGCAAAGCCATAATTGATCATATTTATATGGAAGCATCCTCAGGTAGTGATCAAATTTTTACATAGAAATATATAGGAAAATTCTTTACAAATCATCTTCTCAAGAATAGCAAAGCCATGATTTGTCATGGGACTACTTTTGGATTTAAACTTTTCAATAATAAACCAATTTCTACTTTTTCCTAGCCACAGTGCTCAGGTGAGCAATGGCCTATGGGCCTCTTGTTTAAAGAAAGCTACTGGACATAAGCCATGGAATTCTGTAAAAATTAAATATAATGCTGCATACCGGTATTTTTTATTATGAATGTAAATCAACCTTAATATAAACTATACTATTTTCGGTACATTGTATATGATATGGATTTCATTTGATTTCAATTCTGAGTTTTGAAAATGTTGAAATTATCATGATAATAGAAAGAAATGGTATGTTTCAGGCTGTTGAATCAGATAAATGCATGGTGTCAATTAAAGGTCAAGTTCTTCAAAGGAGAGTTGAGTGGACCGTGTGTTGTCATGCATGAACAGGAGACACATTATTGATAAGATCACACCTGAGGTGTTGTCTATATAACCAGCGTCCGGTGAAACTAGCTCTCACCCCGGGGCCAACTGAACCTCCTAGGTTGGGCTTGATTCCGGTAAGCTGTAAGTAGATTTGATATTGATTTGTCCAGTAATTCAACATGCTATAAAAACTGTATGAATATTCAGCCCCCCAGGGATTCTTGTGGTAATCATGACATGGTCCTAATATCACATACATTGTATTGTTTAGATGTCAAAATTTTCTGGAATTTACCAGGGTAAAAGTTTAGTCAATAGAGTCTTGGTCAGGATGCTTAAGATTTGTTTCAGAATACTGTAGAAGTGGAAAACATTGCGGTGTTTTTAATTTCACTATGTTCACGATTTAGGAATTTTCCGCGAACTTTAAACCATCGTGATTATTATTTCACGTCATTTCTACCTAGAAACAGTCATAGTACCCGAATATTAACAAATGATTATCCGTGAAATTTAAACCACCGTGAAAGGTAACTTTTTAACAAACCGTGAAATTTTAGACACGTGAAATTAAAGACGTCTACAGTATATAGTGTATGTTGCTGCCTTATTTATCATACTAATATCTGATATCAATTTTTCTTAATACCCTATGAGTATAGTCGATGCATAATGTCAGGAGTATTTATAAAAAAAAAAAAAATCACAGAGCAGACCACTGCCATTTTTTACCTTTACATGCATGATAAACCGTGACAGGACACTGACAGGAACATGTTTTAATGTTCAATTTCAATTTCAATTAGCAAAGTGGGTGGACGTGGTCACGTAGGAATGGAAATCAACATTGGTAGTCCATTCAGTATTGGAGCTAAGAGTAGTAACAGCATCATATGCATTAATAAGTGAACCTGCATTCAGGGAGAATATTACATGTAGCTGGTGATTTTATTTCTTTTTTACTTAGACAGTGAATGTATAGTTTATCAAACTTAAACTTTTGATTAAAGAAATGAAAAAAAGTACCAATGGACTGTTTGCATGTTTGATGTGATATTGGGTACTGTGATTTAAAACTTGTGACTTTATTTATTAAAATACCTAACACTACTTAACTTACATGGTTTGATGATTCTTAAATTAACAGTTGATCCGCAAGTGATTTGAAAATATTTTTAATGTATAAATTTAAATGCATAGCAATATAGTTTTTAAAATAAAATGCAGTACAGAGAATTCCCAGACTGCATGTACTAGTACTTGTTTTAAAGTATTCACTTTGTAAATAATTATTTTCTGTGGCTTAGTTTATTTTTCTGACTCTGTTTCAGGTAATGAGTTGATGATCAGTGCAGGGGGATAATGATTCTTCTTTGGACTGTGTGTGCATTACTGCTGTACCAGACTTCAGGTTAGATATTACATGTGTATTGGATCATTATGATTATTAGTCAATGCATACTTCAGATTAGAGATTTGATCATTATTTGTCAATGCATACTTCAGATTAGAGATTTGATCATTATTTGTCAATGCATACTTCAGGTTAGAGATTTGATCATTATTAGTCAATGCATACTTCAGGTTAGAGATTTGATCATTATTAGTCAATGCATACTTCAGGTTAGAGATTTGATCATTATTAGTCAATGCATACTTCAGGTTAGAGATTTGATTATTGTTAGTCAATGCATACTTCAGATTAGAGATTTGATCATTATTAGTCAATGCATACTTCAGATTAGAGATTGGATTATTGTTAGTCAATGCATACTTCAGATTAGAGATTTGATCATTATTTATATAATAGTGTTGCATTATGCATGTACTATCCCTAAATAGTAGGCAGGGTTTGACACATGGTGCACGAGCCGGAGGCAAGTGCACTATGTGTCAAACCCTGCCTACTATTTAGGCATAGTACATGCATATTGCAACACTATTGTTATTATTATGTGACTGTTATAATTATTCATGCGGCAATTTGAATTTTTCCTGAAAATATCGGTGCTAACACAGCGCACTTGCAAGAACTCATTCAAAATCTTCATGCTAAAATTGGTTGCATGCTTGGTTATTTTGGTTACTAGTATTTTCTCTAAATAAGTCGGGATTTTCTGTCCCAAAGCAACACATCTTTATTTTCTGATTTGTTAGTAAGACTTATTTGTTTGCAGACGTCGATTCTCATTGATAATTGTCTTAACATCCTTCAATCAAGCGTCATATAAAAAAGCGTTTTAATGACCCAAGGAAATCAGTTCATCTAACGATCTGTATGTAATTAGTTTGAAACTTTGTTGTACATATTAATCTAAGGTTCCTTAGAATAATATAACTGTTTTCAAATAAAATTTGTCTATTTTCTCCTTCTTGTGTCAATTGTATAAATTAAGTTTATATATTTTGTAAAATACTACCAATTTGTGATCGTCTCTGTGGCGTAATCGATAAGGCATCGAACTGACAATCTCATGGTCGTGAGTTCGATTCCCGGCGTGTGCACTGAAGAATTTTATTCAGTAAATAAAGCCGTGCACTATTTCGGCATAGTATGCTTACGCTTTATAACTCCTTAGACCACTATGCGAGAATAGTAGGGTATGGGTTATATAGAGACAAGCTGACAGGAAGCATAATAATTGTCAATGCATACTTCAGATTAGAGATTTGATTATTGTTAGTCAATGCATACTTCAGATTAGAGATTTGATCATTATTTGTCAATGCATACTTCAGGTTAGAGATTTGATTATTGTTAGTCAATGCATACTTCAGATTAGAGATTTGATCATTATTTGTCAATGCATACTTCAGATTAGAGATTTGATTATTGTTAGTCAATGCATACTTCAGATTAGAGATTTGATTATTGTTAGTCAATGCATACTTCAGGTTAGAGATTTGATCATTAGTTGTCAATGCATACTTCAGATTAGAGAGTCAATTAATGCATACTTCAGGTTAGAGTTTTGATCATTGTTTGTAAACATAAATTAAGTTACCAAGATTTCCTGGCATCATTTATAGTGTTCATTCTGTCCTTATCCATTTAGTCTGATGCTTCAGATGTTACATTTTTTTTACCTTTAATTCCATTGAATCAATGACCAGTCAAAATTTCTCAAATAAGGTCAATGTTGACCAGACTTGCATAAGTATTACATCAGAAGATCCAATTAGCAGGTTTCAGATGCTCCTATGACCTTGACATCACTATACAGGTGAGGATCACATATTTAAAGGGTTTTATGCAGCTCTATTTTTTTAGTACCCAGTAATTATTCAGGTAATTACAAGTCCTACATATAATAACAATTTGAATCTGTTCTACATTGGGACTTTCCATTGGTGAGAAATGGGTCTAAGTAAAGGAATTTTTGTTAATGATTGCACACCAGGGAATAGCTACATGTAATACTGGTATATTAGAGATACTGCAAATTACAGAACTAAATTTGAATTTATGCAATCATATGTTTTTCAGCTGATGCAATTGACGTAACTTTAGATGGAGTAGGGACTGTTGAAGAAAATGATGTTGTCAATATCTCGTGTACTGTGTCAGGCACGCATTATCAACCCACAAGTATTGTAATGTTCTCTTACCCCATAAACCCAGACATCAACAATGTATCCCAGTATACAACGACAACTGTGTATGACAATTTGACAGAGACGTATACTACCACTGTGTTAGCCCCTCCTGTCACCGTGCAAAGAACAATGAATAGCCAGTCAATATCTTGTTATGCTTCAGTGAATTCTTCCACGATTTTCCGAGTAAAGAGATTTACTGTCTTTTGTAAGTTTTACTTCTGATATTGAGGTAATAGAGAGGTAGATATTTTTTACTTGTATGGGTATGTGTACTTAAGCGTCTACTTTGACGTACACAAACACGTTTTTGTAATTTGTCTGTTGAGATTTTTATGACGTTTAATATGTATGTCTACACCATGATCTGTGTCTCTGTAACAACCTTTTAGAAGTTTTGCTTATACGTCAGTTTGATTTTGGGTAGTCAACAAAACATGATAAAGATAGGTGCTCATGAAATTAAACATCTTGAGGTAGGTCGCAGGTTTACTGCATAAAAATTCTTACGAGAAAACATATCCTGAAAATTTGATATAATGTTCCTTAGAATTCACAGCATACAATCTGCAGTTGTTATTGAATTTGCCTACGTAGTTTTAATGCTCTATTACTTTAAACATGGTATTTTTGTTAGTACTTTTTTTTTACGCTTTACTATTGAAATGTATGGGAAAATGACGTTTTTAAGCCAATTTTGTTAAAATAGCTTCTAGCTGTTAAAAATGTTGGTCAGGATAATTTTTTAAAGACATAGATGAATTAGTCAGGAATTTCAAAATATCAAGATGTCAGAGGTAAAATCAAAACTATTAGTATAAAAAAATCAATATGTCTTCTCACTAGATTTTTTGCTAAATAATTTCCACGTTTTCTTTTATACTGCTAAAATGTTGCGTTTTATATGGCGTTATTTATATCTACAACGTCATTTGTTGAACGTAGTCACGTTTATAGTACGAGTATATATATCTTGACCTTTGGAATATGCAAGATTTAAAAGGTGACATATAGATACAAAATTTAATTTTATTCATCATATAAATTAATGTGGAGACACATTAGGATGACCAGTAACTTATTTTCACTTGTATTGTGAAATCCATATTCTGATCAAAAAGTCAGAATTGACAGTATAAACATTCCTCGTGCATGAGAATTAACAAACTGCGACAACAATGTGAGTGATAAAATATTAGTACCTGTATTTTTAGGAAATTCATGGTCAATAGGTATTCAGGCATAACACAAAAATTTGATCACTTTTTTCGAAAACAGGAAGAAAAACATCCCGATACTGAGGAAATAAGTGTGTGGGGGGGGGGGGGGGGGCAGGGTCCTGCAATGTTCTTTCTTTATTAGTCGCAAGCTATATAGTATATGGCCCTAAATCTCAAACATTTGTTAAAATCGAATTCTCTGAATCAACTTTTAATACGCAAAATGGAAAACACTTGCATTTAGCTTTCACACTTTGAACTTGTAAGTTATTTACAGTGTCTTATAGGTCTTACAGTCCAGGTGTTTGTATAAATTTGATTTTTAAATGCATTTCACAATTTATTAGCCAGCAAAACGATCCAATACACGAGATTTAAATAGTCATAACAACCAAACAATTATGATTATGTTGATGATAATTTTTGTAAAAAAAACAGGAAAAATACATGTAATTCAGTTTAACCTGTTTGAGTGTTGAGGATTGATTCCATCCTGAAAAGTAAGTGTATACGCAAATTTTCGCCTCGGCTTTGATTGGCAGTCATGATGCAGTATACATGTACGCATGTTCCCCCAAGTTTCAAATAAAGTGCGCACATACAACCCCTCAAGTTTTCCACTAACTCAGCAATTTTTATTCATGATAACTTTCTTTCTGCATACCATATCTTTTACGCTGATTTATTCTGATTGACTTTTACCAGTTTAGTTATACTTACAGTATAAATTATTCCTTTCATTTGGTATTGTATTTAATTAGTCCTAAGATATAACATATAATCACATCAGAATTCAGACTGAAATTTAATTATAAAACATGTACGAGGTTTAAGTACAATAGAATGCACTTTGTATTAATCTACTTGATTTGTACAGACTTGAAGTCATTTGCAGAGAATTAAACCGGAAACAACGTAACATTGCCTTTGTGACGTAACTGACGTCATAATCAAATGTGCACAAAACAACCGCTTGAAAAGCCGAAATTGTGTACCAAAATTGAAGACAAAAGCAAACCTGCAACCTACCTAAAGTAATTTAAAACAATTACATTTTCCTACATAAATTGACCAGTCCTATTTTTATTATTAAAGATAAAAGTTTTAACTTGCGTGTAGATGCCATTCTACAAGTTCTAAGGATGTGTAGAAAACTCATCATCACTAGAATTGATGATTTACTACACGAGGAATTTAGGTAATTCCCCCTTTAGGTAATTTAGGTAATTAATTTAAGGTAATAATAATTAGGTAGACGTACAATTATGAAATCTCAACCTCCCTAATACATCAGATCTAAATACATGTAGTACTGTTTTTAAAGAGTAACATAATTACATGTGTACTTTGAAAAAAAATTACCAGATAACTGATAATGTAAATCCAATAGCTATATGTTTGGCCAGTCTGATCTTCTATACAGAAATCTAATGCTTGTAATCCATCATATATTTTGTAGTGTTTATCAATGCTAAGTTTTATACCCTGTCCCACTTTTGTTTAGTTCAGGTGTAAAGAATCTACATGATTTTCAAGGTTTTCAATCAGCCTTACTTTAAATTTAATGAATTTAAATCATTAGAACAATTCACTATCTCCAGGGATTAACCTAGGCCATTTTCACAATGGAGGTTTTCAATCAGCTCACTATCTCTAGGGATTAACCTAGGCCATATTCGGTATTTTTCCCAAAGAGAAAAGTTCCCCTGAATATCCCATTTTCCTCTTTTCATGAGTAAAACATTCCTCCAACTGTAATGAAAACCTTAAATTTTTTTTTCATAAAAACTGGAAATTTAAAGTAAAAAATTATCATAATTGTCAGAAGATGGGTTAGAATTGGTTTTACTTTGCAATTTTATGCACTTTAAATGGTCATAAAAATGCTGAAATTCAAGTGGCCCCCAACAGGACTCGCCCTCAGAATACATGTACATTTTAACTAAGTAAACCGTTCAAAGTGATTTGTTTTTTTTCCCCTCAAAATATTATTTAATACATTTTTAACTTAGTGAACCATTCAAAGTGATTTGTTTTTTTCCCTCAAAATCCTTTTCAATTCATGAAAGATCTGGAAAATAAATTGGAAAATTGTGTAATTTTCAATAATTAAACATCATTTTCCACAGAAAATTACCTGAAACATATTAACTTTTCAGATGGACCATATGATGATTATGTGTCATTACAAGTAGACAGGGCTGAGATGGAAGTTGAGGGAAACAGAATGACCTGGATCTGTTACGGAGGATTCACAAACCCAGCAGTGTCCATCACATGGTACAACGGCTCCACAGAGTTCAGCCCCGATACACCATCTATTGTAGAAAAATATGTAAGGCTTGATACACCACCTATTGTAGATAAATATGTAAGACTTGATACACCACCTATTGTAGATAAATATGTAAGGCTTGATACACCACCTGTTCATTTCAATATTTCCACTTACCTGCCTCCTTAACTATTTGCAATTTCCCTCTAGTTCCCCATACAATGCATCGATATATTTATGCCCCCCTTCGAAGAAGGGAGGGCATATTGCTTTGCTGCTGTCTGTCGGTCGGTCTGTCGGTCTGTCGGTCCGTCGGTCTGTCGGTCCATTCAGTTTCCGTTCATTTTCTTCATAACCGTTGCCCATACTGAAATGAAATTTGGTATACAGATATATCACATGAATATCTAGGCCTAGTTCTGTTTTGGGTACGATCGCACCATTTTTGACAGAGTTATGCCCCTTGGACTTGGAAAAATTTCAATTATTTGCAGTTTCCGTTCATTTTCTTTGCAACCGTTGCACATACTGAATTCAAATTTGGTATACAGATATATCACATGAATATCTAGGCCAAGTTCTGTTTTAGGTACGATTGCACCATTTTTGACAGAGTTATGCCCCTTGGACTTGGAAAAATTTCAATTATTTGCAGTTTCCGCTCATTTTCTTTGCAACCGTTGCACATACTGAATTCAAATTTGGTATACAGATATATCACATGAATATCTAGGCCAAGTTCTGTTTTAGGTACGATTGCACCATTTTTGACAGAGTTATGCCCCTTGGACTTGGAAAAATTTCAATTATTTGCAGTTTCCGCTCATTTTCTTTGCAACCGTTGCACATACTGAAATCAAATTTGGTATACAGATATATCACATGAATATCTAGTTTAAGTTCTGTTTTGGGTATGATTGCACCATTTTTGACAGAGTGATGCCCCTTGGAGTTTGAAAAAATTTCAATTATTTGCAGTTTCCGTTCATTTTCTTTGCAACCATTGCAAATACTGAAATCAAATTCGGTATACAGATATATCACATGAATATCTAGGTCAAGTTCTGTTTTGGGTATGATCGCACCATTTTTGACAGAGTGATGCCCCTTGGAGTTTGAAAAAATTTCAATTATTTGCAGTTTCCGTTCATTTTCTTTGCAACCGTTGCACATACTGAGATGAAATTTAAAATACAGATTAATCAGATGAATATCTAGGTCAAGTTCTGCTTTGGGTACAATCGTGCCATTTTTGATAGAGTTGTGCCCCCTTGGACTTGCAAAAAAATTCCAATTGGGGGGAGGGGGGCATAAGTGTTTTACAAACATCTCTTGTTTTTAAAGTAACTACGGTATCACCTCCAGTTATCCCCCTTAACTATAACTCTTCAGTTTTCTCTCGACGCCATATTGGACATGCGGTTTTCCTCATACAGTGCAAAATAAAGTTTATATTGGCGTTTTTAGAAGCGTTTATCCCGTTGTAAATATGGAGAAAGAGTTTAAAGACTGTTCTAAATGTTCCGGTAAGATGAACATTCTAGATGATCACGTTTTTTGTTATAAACATCGTCTCTGTAACGAGGCCTTTCCATGCGAAACTTGTAAAACGTAGTCAAAGGAACGGCGGGATAAAATAACGAAGATGATCGAGAAAAGTGTACAGAAAACAATAAAATGAACAGTAAGGTGCCTCAGTCCGTCTGTGGAGACGGCATGGCAGTGCAGGACGTAAGTCCGTCTGTGGAGGCGGCAGTCCAGGAGTCGAACGACAATGCCTTACTGAATGCCGACCGTAACAGGCCTGATGTCGTGGATTTATCCGCAATTATTCAAGAACAAGTAAGATAGCAGGTTGAATTGTTACTTAAACAAAAGAATGTTGATGAAAATTTTAATGATCAACATAACGTATCGGCATTTGCAGCAAGTGAGGCAAGGTTGACCAGAGGAAATGAGACCACCAATTCCAAAACGGCAACCATAAGCAGACCTCATTTTGACAAGTTTAAGGCGTATGATGAACAAATGTCAGCCTTTGAGTCCAGTGTTGCAGATGTGTTGTCTGTTAATGCACGAGATAATGATTTTGAGGATATAGATTCAAATGCATCATTTGGTGGTTTGTGTACCAATTCAGATGCGGCCGTCGAGGTGCCTTTTGGTGCACCAGATTCTTTTCTGCTACAGTGGAACTGTTTTGTTTCAAAGATGGCGAAAGTACTCAATATTGATCTTGAAGCTGAGGATCCATTGGAAAATGAAAGAAAATCTTTTATTTCTTCGCGATTAAAAGGAGACAAGAGTGACAAGAAAAAGTCTCTCCTTAAAATGCCTATTGAAGGAACACTCATTGATATGATTAAGACGGTTGAGAAAGAAGCTACTTCGGGGCATTTGAAAAATAGATCAGTACGTGGCAGAGATGATAAAGCATTTATGGTGAAAAAGGATGACTTTGACGCCTTTTGTAATCCTCCAAAGTTGGATGACAATATTGAGGAGGGATTAGTAGTAGGCCAGAAGGGTAGTTTTGGAAAATCAAAAGTGAATCTTTCTCCTTTTCATAAGGAGTTAGATAATGACTTTTGGCAGATTGACAATTCAGCAAGAGCCTTATTCAGAGCCATTTCATATGGCACTATGATAGCAGCTCTCTTAGATGAGGCTGAATGTGAGGATGATCGAGTGGAAGGACGTAAAGCCCTCATCAACTGTTTCAGAAGCATGGCTGATTTGACAGCAAGAGTGATGGCAAATTCAGTCTTGAGTAGAAGAAAATTTTTTCTTAAAAATGTAGATTTTATAAGCAAGGCAACAGAGAAGAAATTGCTGAAGCTACCTATATTTGGCAACCAGTTGTTTAATGGACAGTACTTTGAATCTCTCCATACATCTGCAGAGAATCTACGAGATGCTAGAGAAACCCAAAATGTTTACAATACATCAAAGGGTTATAATAAGAACTACAAGAGTAGAGAAAATAGGAACTCTACCGAGTTGAGCAGAAAGAGGAAAGCAGATGTAAATGAGACCTCTGCTCATTCTGCAAAAGTCACTAAATCTAGTGAGACTAATGCCTTAAGTTCTGATCACAGCAAGGACAATTTTCGTTCAGGACAAGGGAACAGGAAAAATTCTTTTTCCTGGCGAACCTTTGGGAACCAGAAAGGGTTTCCAACTCCAAGAAAGTGAATCTCATAAACAGCCAGTCTGTAAATATGTTTCCCCAGGTAGGGGCACGTTTGCTAGAATTCCACAGGAAGTGGACTGTAATCACGCAGGATCAATGGGTAATAGAAACTCTAAGGGAAGGGTTAAAATTGGAATTAATGATTCAACCCTATGTAAATATCAAGGAAACATGTGTACCAAGATATGGTATTCACGAATCAGTTATTTTAGCAGAAATAAACATGTTGTCAGGAAAAAATGTTATAGAACCTGTGCTGCGGGGCAAGAAAGCGAAGGGTTTTACAGCACCATTTTTGTGGTGCCAAAGAAACAAGGAGGGCTTCGGACAATTCTAAATCTAAAACCTCTAAATCAGTTAATAGTGCCTCGACATTTCAAAATGGAAACATTGTGTTCTATAATGAAAGCAATGAAAAAAGGGGACTTTGCAATCTCACTGGATTTGACCGATGCCTATTTCCACATTCCAATTCACACAGATTTCCAGAAATTTCTAAGATTCAAATTTCTAGGCCAAAGTTACCAGTTTCGAGCGATGCCATTTGGACTTCGTTCAGCTCCAAGGGTCTTCACAAAAATAATAGCAGTGCTAGCGGCACACTTAAGAAAAATGGTAATCCAAATATTCATGTACCTAGACGATTGGCTGATGATCAATCCAGACAAGAGAACTCTTCTTCAACAGAGAGACTATGTATTACATCTAGTTCAGGAGCTGGGATTGTTAGTGAATTGGGAAAAGTCATCTCTAGTGCCATCCCAACATATAGAGTATCTGGGAGCACATTTCAATCTTGTAGAGGGCATGCGACAGAGTCCAGGTTTCAGAGTATTTCAGACATAGTGCAGACTTTATCAATAAGTCAACACACTCAAGCAGTAGTTATACTCAAATTGTTAGGACTGATGGCTTCATGCATTTACCTTGTTCCGATGGGAAGGTTACACATGCGTCCTATACAGTTATACCTGTTAGCAATGTGGAGCAAAGATTCACCCTCTTACTCATGTGATAGTGATTCGGCCAATCCTAATTCAGCACCTTCAGTGGTGGATGAATCGGGAAAACTTTTTCAAAGGAATGCCTTTGCAGGATCCACCAAGTCAACTGACATTGATAACAGATGCCTCAGAACAGGGCTGGGGAGCACATCTGGAGAACTGGGAGACGTCAGGGGTCTGGCTGCAGCAATATCAACAGAAGCACATAAATTGGCTGGAGCTAAAGGCAGTACAGTTAGCTCTTCAAGAAGCTCTGTTTTTGATAAAGGGAAAAGTGATCCTTATACGGTCAGACAACACAACAGTGATAAGCTATATCAACAATCAAGGGGGGACACACTCACCAGAACTGTGTTATCTAACTTGGGAGTTGTTCCAGTGGTGTATACAGAACAAAATTACAATACGAGCTGTTCACATTCCTGGGAAGAAGAATTTTCTTGCAGATGCACTTTCCCGCGGGAAAACAGTTCGAATGACAGAATGGTCGCTCAACAAAACTGTTGTAAATTTATTGTTCCAACAATTAGGAACCCCATGTATAGACTTGTTTGCAACTGCGCAAAACAAGAAGTTGCCAGTCTATTGCTCCCCGTTTCCAGACATCAATGCTTTTCAAGTAGATGCTCTAGCAATCAGTTGGGAAGGGATTTATGCTTATGCATTCCCACCACCCATTCTTGTGCCCAAAATCTTACAGAAGATACAGGAAGAGGCAAGTGTTGTACTACTCATTGCTCCAATGTGGCCCAGGCAGTTGTGGTATCCTCAGATAATAGATCTTCTGATCGATGTACCAGTCAAATTACCACTGTGGCCAGATCTTCTGTCTCAAAATCACAATCAGATTTTTCATCAAAACCTAGAAACTCTCAATCTTGTTGCATGGAAACTGTCAAATTGCAACACAAGTCAAGAGGATTTTCTGAAGAAATTGCAGAAATTATGGCAAATGCTAGAAAGACATCTACACAAACAGTTTATGATGCAAGACTCAGAATATATAACAGTTGGTGTAAAGAACAGGGTGTTAATCCCATTACAGCATCTATACCAGAGTTAGCACAATTTTTTATGTACCTTTTCAATGTACGAAAGTGTAAACCACAGACTATAGCTGGATACAAGTCAGCAATAGTTCATCAGAATGGGAGCAGTATTGGTACAAGTACAGAACTTTCTTCATTGTTGAAAGGCTTATTTAATAAACACCCATCTGTACGTCAGTTGACACCTAACTGGAATTTACCACTGGTTTTGTTAACTCTTACAAAGCATCCATTTGAACCACTAGAGTCAGCAGATCTAAAGTTTTTGACTCTTAAAACTGTTTTTCTGGTAGCCATAGCTTCAGCTTCCAGAGTGAGCAAGATTCATAGCCTCACTTTAGATGATGGTTACTTTAGAATAGAGAGGAAAGGAATAAAAATGTTACCAAATATGGAATTCCTGGCAAAGACTCAAACCATAAATAGACCATGGGACCCTATTTATATTCCTGCATTTGATTCATTCGCCACAGATTCAGAGGATTTAAAATTGTGTCCTTGTCGTGCATTGAAGATTTATATCAATAGAACGAAAACTATTCGGAAGTCAAATAGGCTATTTGTGACCTACCAACAGAATAACCACAAGGAAGCATCAAAAGACACTATTGCAAGATGGATAGTTAGCATGGTTTGTTTTGCATATGATAATGCAGAAGCAGCAACATTAAATCTAGTTAGAGCACATGACACTAGACGGTTGTCAACTTCCTGGGCTTTGTTCTGTGGTGTATCTACAGAGGAGATTTTACGGGCAGAACACTGGGCATCTGAATCTACCTTTACATCATTTTATCTGAAAGATGTTCCAGATCATCAGTCCATTTTTGCCAAGGCAGCAATTTTGGACTCATCAAGGAGAGGGAAGAAAAAATAGGTAATTATGTACCTTTTATGTACTTTGTCACTTACTTTTCCTCTCCCACCTCCAAAGTGGGCTGCAAATTCTTTTGCAATAGTTAAGGAGGCAGGTAAGTGGAAATATTGAAATGAACTTGGATTTTTGGGGGTAAAATCCGTGTTCATGAGATATTTACACTTACCTGCCTCACCCGGCCCACCTCCCCTCTCGAGGAAGTTGAAAGGTCAGTACCTTTTAAGTTCGTCGAGAGAAACTGAAGAGTTATAGTTAAGGGGGATAACTGGAGGTGATACCGTAGTTACTTTAAAAAATATATCGACACATTGTATGGGGAACTAGAGGGAAATTGCAAATAGTTAAGGAGGCAGGTAAGTGTAAATATCTCATGAACATGGATTTTACCCCCAAAAATCCAAATTGTAGATAAATATGTAAGACTTGATACACCACCTATTGTAGATAAATATGTAAGGCTTGATACACCAACTACTGTAGATAAATATGTAAGGCTTGTTACACCACCTATTGTAGATAAATATGTAAGACTTGATACACCAACTACTGTAGATAAATATGTAAGGCTTGTTACACCACTTACTGTAGATAAATGATACACCATCTACTGTAGATAAATATGTAAGGCCTGATACATCACCTTTTTTAAAACATTATTTTTAGCTAACCTGAGCTGAAGGCTCAAGTGAGCCTTTCTGATCAAAATTTGTCCATTAACTGTCGTTGTTGTTGTTATTGATGTAAACTTTTCACATTTTCATCTTCCTCTCAAAAACCAATCGTCCATTTTTAACCAAACTTGCCACAATTAAAGTATCCTTTGGTAGAGGGGATTCAAGTTTTTTTTTTTCAAATGAAGGGCCAAGCCCTCTTCCAAGGTGAGATAATTATGATTAATGAAATATTAATGGTATCTTTGAAAAATTATCTTCTCAAAAATCATAGGGTCAGGAAAGATGAAACTCATGTGGAAGCATCTTCAGGTAGTATAGATTCAAGTTTGTTCCAATCATGACTTTTGTGGGTAGGTTGGGGCAACAATGGCTGATCAAATTTTTACATAGGAATATAGAGGAAAAAAATCTTTTAAAAGTCTTCTTTTCCAGACCCACTGGGCCAGGGAGGATGAAAATCGCATTGAAGCATCCTCAGGTAGTGTAGATTCAAGTTTGTTCAAGTTATGACCCTTGGGGGTAGGGCAGGGCCACAAAGGCTGATCAAAGTTAAACATAGGAATTCGTAGGAAAAATCTTTTAAAAATCTTTTTCTCCAGAACCATAGGGCCAGGAAAAATTAAACTCATGTGGATGCATTTTCAGGTAGTGTAGATTCAAGTTTGTTCAAATCATGACCCCAAGGCTAAGATTATATATAGGATAAAATCTTCTGAAGAATGGAAAAGTTTTGTTTAGTCAAATTGACTTGTAAGCATGTACAAGAAGTAAAGATTTAAATTTATTCAAATAATATCCCGGGGGGGGGGGGGGGGGGGGGGGGGTAGTGAGAGGTCACAATGGGAGATCAAGTAATATGTTGTAAAAATCTTCTTTTCAGGTATGGCAAAATGATACATAACTGTGTGCTTTATTGATGTAGTAACATTCTCAAGTATTAGAAAATTCAAATCCCCCTTCCCAAACAAGTAAACTTATCCATACTGAGCAAACCGAGCTGATTTGTGTTTTTTATCTAGCCCTTGTGCTCAGGTGAGCAATGTGGTCCATGGGCCTCTTGTTCCTTTTTATTTCATGAAAAACAGACGAGGGATTTTTGATTTTTTTAAGATATAATTTCAAAACTAGCAACTTTTAATCAACAGTGCTTCAACACCGAGTGTAGAAATCAAAATAATTGAGTTCCTGCTTCTTTCTCTTTTCTCTTGAATCTTCTACATCCCGATGATTTGTGAAATGAAACTATGGCGTCCTAAAAACGAGATAACTTACAGAAACCAACACTTTTAGTGATACATCTGGTCAATTGCTTACGTAACACAACTAATCTAAGTGTTTCATCACTATAAATAGCGCTTTATACATTTGTTGCAAAACAACCAAGATCATGTTTATTTCATCAATATTTAGGGTGATCATTACAATACACGACAAGAATGGAACTTTGAGTATCACCGAGATTACACGGGGAATAATATTAGTTGTGTTGTCAGAGGATCTGGAAATAGAACAGTGACCAAAACAAAGCAGTTTGGGGACATTCTTTGTAAGTGGATATAAGGCTAGGTAGTACTTTTGTTAATAAGTTTTTTTTTCCCTTTCTTTTTTAGCTCACCTGAGCCGAAGGCTCAAGTGAGCTTTTCTGATCAAAATTTGTCCGTTGTCTGTCGTCGTCGTCGTTGTCGGCGTCGTCGGCATAAACTTTTCACATTTTCATCTTCTTCTCAAGAACCACTGGGCCAATTTCAACCAAACTTGGCACAAAGTATCCTTGGGTGAAGGGGAATCAAGTTTGTTCAAATGAAGGGCCACGCCCCCTTCCAAGGGGAGATAATTATGAATTTGTGAAAAATTTATGGCATTTTTAGGTCACCTGAGTAACTCAGGTGACCTATTGCTATCCGTTTTCGTCCGTCGTCGTGCGTCGTGTGTTAACATTTGAACATTTTCAGCTTCTTCTCTGAAACCACTCAACCAATTTCAACCAAATTTGGTATACAGCATCTATGGGTGAAGGGTAACAAAAATTGTGAATTTCATGGTCCCCGCCCCCCTGAGGCCTAAGGGGTGGGGCCAAAACCACTAAAATTAGTGCAATCTTTAAAAATCTTCTTCTTTACTCCTGGACATCAAGCAGGCAAACCGATAGCATCAATGTAATGAGCATTGAGTCATCTACCAAAATTGTGAAATTCATGGCCCCAGGGTCAGGGGTTCTAGTGCTAGGATGGGGCTAAATAAGTATATAGTGAAAATGCATTATTTCTTTGGAAATCTTCTTCTCTGCTCCTGGGTATTAAATAAACTATCTAAGTACAAAGTTATGATGAGCAAGAGTGTCTCTTACAGATTTGTGAATTTTATGGCCCCAGGGTCTAGGGTTCTGGTGTTAGGGCGGGGCTCTATAGATTATATAGTGAAAATGCATTTATTCTTTGAAAATCTTCTTCTCTGCTTCTGGGTATTAAATAAACTAACTTAGTACATAGTTATGATGAGCAAGAGTGCCTCTTCCAGATTTGTGAATTTTATGACCCCAGGGTCAGGGGTTCTGGTGTTAGGGCGGGGCTCTATAGATTATATAGTGAAAATGCATTTATTCTTTGAAAATCTTCTTCTCTGCTTCTGGGTATTAAATAAACTAACTAAGTACATAGTTATGATGAGCAAGAGTGCCTCTTCCAGATTTGTGAATTTTGTGGCCCCAGGGTCAGGGGTTCTGGTGTTAGGGCGGGGCTCTATAGATTATATAGTGAAAATGCATTTATTCTTTGCAAATCTTCTTCTCTGCTTCTGGGTATTAAATAAACTAACTAAGCACATAGTTATGATGAGCAAGAGTGCCTTTTCCGAAATTGTGAAATTTATGGCCCCATGGTCCGGGGTTCTGGTGTTAGGGCAGGGCTCTATAGATTATATAGTGAAAATGCATTTATTCTTTGAAAATCTTCTTCTCTGCTTCTGGGTATTAAAAAAACTAACTTAGTACATAGTTATGATGAGCAAGAGTGCCTCTTCTAGATTTGTGAATTTTATGGCCCTAGGGTCAGGGGTTCTGGTGTTAGGGCGGGGCTCTATAATAGATTATATAGTGAAAATGCATTTATTCTTTGAAAATCTTGTCTACTTCTGGGTATTAAATAAACTAACTAAGCACATAGTTATGATGAGCAAGAGTGCCTTTTCCAAAATAGTGAATTTTATGCCAATGATCCAAGTATATATATTTATGATGAAGAAAGGTGCATCTAGCAAATTGGTTATTTTTATGTCCCGAAGGGGGGGTACATAGTCTGAAAATAAATTAATGCTTTGAAACCTGCTCTTTGGTATTAATCAACCATTTTATGATAAAATTTGCAAAATTTTGAAATATGTGGCCCCAGGGTCAGTGGATCTTTTGGGGTGAGGTGCACAACTGGTTATAAAGCGGAAGAACACTTTCTCTTTGTAACTCTGATCTACCTCTGGGTATTGAGTAAGTAGAGTATTTTTAATAATGATAAACAATGGTGCCTCTCTCAAAATTGTGAATTGTGAATTTCATGGCCTCTGGTTTAAAACACAAACCAAATTTAATTGTTTGAAAGTTGATACACAATACTCAGGTGACCTATAAGGCCCGTGGGCCTCTTGTTAAAAAATCTTCTTCTCCAGAACCGCTGGGCCAGGAAAGATGAAACTCATGTGGAAGCATCCTCAGGTAGTGTAGATTTAAGTTTGTTCAAATCATGACCCCCGGGGCAAGGGTGGGGCCAAAATGGCCAACCCAAGTTTTACATAGGAATATGTAGGAAAAATCTTTAAAAATCTTTTTCTCCAGAACCACTGGGCCAGGAAAGATGAAACTCATGTGGAATCATCCTCAGGTAGTGTGGATTCAAGTTTGTTCAAATCATGACCCCCGGGGCTAGGGTGGGGCCAAAATGGCCGACCCAAGTTTTACATAGGAATATATAAGAAAAATCTTTAACAATCTTCTTCTCAAGAATGACAAAGCCATAATTCATCATATTTATATGGAAGCATGTTCAGGTAGTGTGGATTCAAGTTTGTTCAAATCATGACCCCTGGGGCAAGGGTGGGGCCAAAATGGCCGACCCAAGTTTTACATAGGAATATATAGGAAAAAAACTTTAAAAATCTTCTTCTCCAGTACCACTGGGCCAGGAAAGATGAAACTCATGTGGAATCATCCTCAGGTAGTGCAGATTCAAGTTTGTTCAAATCATGATCCCCGGGGCTAGAGTGGGGCCAAAATGGCCGACCCAAGGAATATATAGGAAAAATCTTTAAAAATCTTTTTCTCCAGAACCACTGGGCCAGGAAAGATGAAACTCATGTGGAATCATCCTCAGGTAGTGTGGATTCAAGTTTGTTCAAATCATGACCCCCGGGGCTAGGGTGGGGCGAAAATGGCCGACCCAAGTTTTACATAGGAATATATAAGAAAAATCTTTAAAAATCTTCTCAAGAACCACTAGGAAAGGAAAGATGAAACTTATGTGGAAGCATCCTCAGGTAGTGTAGATTCAAGTTTGTTCAAATCATGACCCCCGGGGCAAGGGTGGGGCCAAAGTGGCCAACCCAAGTTTTACATAGAAATATATAGGAAAAATCTTTAAAAATCTTCTTCTCCAGTACCACTGGGCCAGGAAAGATGAAACTCATGTGGAATCATTCTCAGGTAGTGTGGATTCAAGTTTGTTCAAATCATGACCCCCGGGGCTAGGGTGGGGCCAAAATGGCCGACCCAAGTTTTACATAGGCATATATAGGAAAAATCTTTAAAAATCTTTTTCTCCAGAACCACTGGGCCAGGAAAGATGAAACTCATGTGGAATCATCCTCAGGTAGTGTGGATTCAAGTTTGTTCAAATCATGACCCCCGGGGCTAGGGTGGGGCCAAAATGGCCGACCCAAGTTTTACATAGGAATATATAAGAAAAATCTTTAAAAATCTTCTTCTCAAGAACCACTGGGCCAGGAGAAATGAAACTCATGTGGAAACATCCTCAGGTAGTGTAGATTCAAGTTTGTTCAAATCATGACCCCTGGGGCAAGGGTGGGGCCAAAATGGCCGACCCAAGTTTTACATAGGAATATGTAGGAAAAATCTTTAAAAATCTTCTTCTCAAGAACCACTGGGCCAGGAGAAATGAAACTCATGTGGAATCATCCTCAGGTAGTGTAGATTCAAATTTGTTCAAATCATGACCCCCGGGGCTAGGGTGGGGCCAAAATGGCCGACCCAAGTTTTACATAGGGATATATAGGGAAACCTTTTAAAATCTTCTTTTCAAGTACTTTAAAGCTATGATTTGTGATATTTATATGGAATCATCCTCAGGTAGTGTAGATTCTAGTTTGTTCAAATGATGAATGCCTGGCGGGGGGTGGTGGAGTAAATTCAAGCCTGATGTGCTCAGGTGAGCGCTGTGGCCCCTGGGCCTCTTGTTTTCTTTCTTTCTGTCCCCGTCTTTCTCTCAAAGGTTTTTTTTTCTGAGAGACAATAAGTAAAGTGAGTGAAATGTATTTGTTGTCTCAGGAAAATCTTATTTTAATGTTTGTTTACCCATTAATTCTGACAGATGACCCAGATTTAGTTGTTCGAGGGAGCTCTGTTGTAGACGAGGGAGCCACCTTAAATTTGACCTGTGAGGTTGTGGCAGCCAATCCAATGACAAGTGCCTCCTGGAGTGGGGGAGGTGATTTACATCAACATTCAATCATTCATCTCTTACAATCACTAATTTAAAAATCAGGTTTATCAAGAAAAGACGAGAACAATGATACAATGACAAAAAAGCAAATTAAAGAATTTGACCTTGAGAATGTGAAGGATTTTTTGTTTTAATTCTGGTTATTTTCAGAAAAATCTGCTTCATATTACTTTGTACATGTAACAAGCACATAAGGCGAAAAAAAATTAATTTCTTGGTTTTCAGGCCCTCCCTCATCTCTTCCAAGGGTGCCTCATTGACCCTTTTTATTGCTAAATCAATAAAATAAAAACAACAAATCATCTCCCTCATCATTTTTTGAGGTTTTGTACAATGTAAAAAGCTGCCTCATCATGTTTTGGGTGCAATAAAAAGTAAAAAAAAAAAATGCCTCCCTCCCTCATCATATTTCTTGAAAAAAGGCCTGAGAACCAAGGAATTAATTTTGCATGGCCTAAAAAGATGTGGGAACAAGGCATGCTGAATGCTTAAAGCTTCAGATATTAAGAAATTATATTCAGTATGTGAATTGAATGTTTAAGTTATTTTTAAGTTCTCATTATTAAAATTTACGAAATTATGAGAAACAAAATTTTTTCTGACAGAAATGAAATCTCAGAAAAAATTATTCTTTTATAAAAATATAAGATGGAATTCATGGGAT